CCCTGTCCCTTGAATACAGAGATAGAGCTTATTTTTTCCATTAATTTGGCTATGGGGTGACCAATAACTAATACCAGACGAGCCAAAGGAAGGCATACTCTGTAGAATTCTTTTATTCACATCTTGCTCAAGTGCGGAGCTCTTGGCCATCATCGCCAATTGTGTCTGTATCTTACACAATACTATAATACATTATTTGCATCTTAAATTAATGGAATACGACCACACGATGTGCTCTCTTACAAAAAATAAATATCGTACTTAATTGTTAAGTAACTGGTTAATCTTACCCTTTCACAACAAGAGAACTGTTCTCTTGTCCATGGTTCATGTAATTATTTCTTTTTCAATCGTGATTACATGAAGTATTGATTGCTTTCAGAATTGATGCACAATTTTTTATAAATTGAAAACGATATTCTTCCGTCTGGAGCAATATTCACACCTTTAATCAATTCTATCTATAATTAAATAATTAACATTCGAACAGACTGCCACAAATTTACATATTGCGTCTTCATGCACTATTTTTGCGTTTCAACCACTCTCTGTAATGTCCGATCGACATTTTTACAAAATTTAACCTTGCGGATAATCTTTTACAAACTCTTTATCAAGTTTACACATTTCATTTTGTTTTCCTTCTAGTTCAAATGTCAATTACAAAACTGAGACTTTTTCTTTGTACGCTCGGGATGGCGAAGACAATTGGATATTTCATGGAAAGCAATCTTCCACTAAGTGTTCAAGAAAATCACTCAACATGCAGAATGCAGTGTTGCCGTATCTTTCTTAACGAACAGAAAACTTATAAGTGCAATTTCAATGTATTACAGGTTACTAACATAAAATTAACTTTTATGGTTAGAAATATCCAAGAGATAACTGCTTATTTGGTTCTAGCGAGATTTACATCCATTTTTCGTCTATCAATTGCGAGACTCCTTGACAAAATGAAAGCTCAAAGCATTAACTGCGTCGTCGAATTCCAATTTTTCTCTACAGTTTTTCAGATATTTAAATATTTTATAACGAGGTCAAAATAAACATTTGAAATTACCCTGTCGCGAATTTAGTAATCTCTAGATAATACCATGTCACCAGGTTTCCTTATACAACCCTTAAGTTTTAGAATCAAATAATTAGCAATGCATATTTATGAATCGTTTGCAAGCAAGGCAAACCTTGCGCGATTTTCCGTTGTCAGACTCTCCGCCTAAGCTTAGGTAACCAACAAATGGCCAGGACATGTCAGCGATTCCGGAATCTCTTTGGTTCAAATTTACCTCTTCTTGGAAAATATAGCTGGATGAAGATTCCATGACATGAATGCAAGAGTCACAGACCTTACGTTCGCAGATTTCACAAACACGCGACCACTTTCCAAATAAGGAGAATTTCCTGGACTGACAGCAAAAACACAGCCTCCCATGAGCTAAATCTTTGTAGAGCTTTTCTTCGGGGTCCAGGGCACCCAAATCTAACGAAGCTAACGTCTTACGTACGTGCTTCACTTCCTTGAGGGTCATGTAGATCTTAGACGTAATGGCGAGGTTACGGAGGTTGTAGAGAGACGGTGGAAACACTGGCTCACATTCGGGGTCGCTCATTTCAAAGCTGGCGAAACTTCTGTTCTTGATGCAGTCCTCGTCATCGAGCGACAAAAAGCTAGAATCACTCGAGTTACTAACCCTCCTGGTAACGTTTCCAAAAATCTCTTCGGGTTTGCTTAGGAAGTTGTCTTCGTTGATATCTTCCTCATCAGCTATTGTGACTTGTGGTGTTTCCGATCGGCTGATGGTCGGTGATGGGTCTATCTCCACAGTAGACGAGGAATCCCAGCGATTGATCAATTCTGTCAGTTTGATTGTTGGTTTGAGGCATTTGCGTTTGGGTGGTGCTACATCCGTCTCGTTTAAGGGAACGCCAGTTTTCTCTTCAAAGTAGATTTCTCTCACGCTCTTTAAGGCTGGTCGAGGTGCAGGCCTCAACTTCGGCTGTGATCGGATCTCATTTAATAACTTATCAAACGGGCTCGGACTTTTCTTCGGATATTGCTTCATCTTACGAAGGCTCACCTTCGATAACGGCGGTCTGGATCGAATGAACTCCAGAATGACATCGTGGGCGTCTTTTTTCACCATGGCATTGATGTCGACGTGGTTCAAAGTGTGGCGTTTGTTCCGAATGTCCTGAAGGAGAATCTCGTAAGGCGACAGCTCGTATGTGACGAGCGGTAATTTGGCTTGATCAACACGCCGTAAGCTCACCCCCTGTCGCAGCTCTTTCATGACTTGCAGCCATAACTGGGCCCACTCTGCCGCCTGTAAGCTTTGTAAGAAAGCCCAATTTGTCGGTCCTACTCCACGTCCCCATGTTTGAGCGACAAGAGCGCGTCCATTGCAGAGTTGGTGAAGAAATGCTGACAATTCCACTGCTTCGCTGACGAGCGCTCGACTCACTGCGCGGAAATGTTCACCTGGGTCGATAATGTCCTTGGGCAGGTGGTTAGCACAGCGATTCAAAACAGCATCCAGCGTGATATCACAGCTCATGATTTCTTGAACCTTTTCGGAGCAATCACTTTCATTTTTCGATATCAACCTTCCCCGAGGGCTCGGTAGATCAAAGCTCAAGTTGTCTGGAATCAAAACCCCTTCACCAATGTGATCACAGTTGGTCATGTCCACAATGAGTTTTTCGAGTTCTTCATCGAGTTCACGTTCTACAAACGCCTCCATACCGTAGTCTAGGCACTCATAAACAACGCTTCCCAAGTCGAAAAGGACAGCAGACTCTCGTTGAACCGAGTTCGATTCGTCTATCTTAGTGAAGAAAACACTACCGTCTTTGCGAATTTCAATCGTCGACAGTTGAATGTCGATTTTTTGCTGTCTCAATGCCCCAAAGCTCTCTTTCTGAATGGCGATCAGTTCCTTAGTGCTTTGATAACACACAGCCCAAGCTTGTTCTTCACTCAAAGGCGCTCGAAAGCACTTGAGAATATCGGAGAGAATCATTTCTTCCCTCTGAGATGACATTTCACCGAAACACCTTTCGAGGTGGATAACGAAGGCAAAATTGTGAGGGTGAGAACTAGAAATTTTTCCGAGTTATGTGGGTGACTGCCGGTGTGGTTTAATTATGAATTCACACAGCGCTCACGGGCATTTGTTCTTCTTCTATCTTATTGGCTGTCGGAGAGAAGTGACATCAATAAATATTTCATAACTGGCAGGAATTAAATTTACTCCATTAACAGAAGCAGCATAAGATGTGTTTTCTGAAGTGCAAAAAACCGACAGAATTTTCCATGACCACCTTTCATTAATTGGCTGTTTGTTATTCGTTGTAAAAATTTGTTTTAGCACAGGTCATGTCTAAGAGAAGACGTTTTTCTCGGGCTTATTTTCATTCGACACCTCAGTGGCCGGAGATAACTTTCAGATTGTGAATACGTAATGCTGCGAATTTGTTTTCAAAGCATTTATCATCTTAAATGTTTATGACATTTCCCATCCAACTTGCATGTTGACTCCCCATCTTAAAGAAACTATCTCAGAGAGCTTTCACTCAATTTCCAAGTGTTATTTGCAAATAGTCTATGAGAAATTTGCTCTTATCAGTGCCATGTTACTAAGAGTAAGCTTTATTTTTGGATTCCAGATAAACGATGATAGGGCGAAAAAATTACCTTTTAAATTGTGACGACGGAAAACAATCGGCCAAAAACTTAAAATAAAGGCTCTGTTATTTTTTGCCAAGATTTTACAATTTCTATGCAAATTCCTCGCCTACACAGCTTTTAGGTCTCCATGTTTTAGTCAGTTTATCCGGTCAATTAAGATTGCTTTCTCCTTTGGGGTGATTTGACTGCATTGAAATTCAAATCTGTCAGAAGAAAAGCGAAATGAACGATCATAATACGACGTCTAGGTGTTTCTGTTTATGAAAATACCTTTTCGCTCTGAAGAAAGATAAAGACGGTCAATTTTTTTCGTTTTCATCTACACGACTTTTTTTTGCAAAAAAAGTTGTGTGATAAAAAAATTATATTTCTTATCGGTGAAGGTTTATCAGGATTTATGCAAAAAAAATATATTCAATTGGTCAAAGATAATCAAGTGAGCTATGATCTCATGGCATTTGAAGGCAGTTAAATCTACATCCTGCTGACCTGAAAGGCGCTGACACGTCCGTCAAATTGTTTTAATGGAGGATCCGCAAATCCCGTCAGAACTTAATGATTGAATCACTTCTCTCGTCCTTGTTATCAGTTTACTTTTTTTCAGTAAAATTTAACCACATAACCCTTCCATAGGCGTCATTTTACTTTTTTCACATTTTTCCTGTCTTTTACGGCGTGGGAATCGAGACGCGAGGTTATGTTCTCCCACACTGTGCTTGATCTCAAATGAAACCATCGTGAATGCTATCATGATATAGTGAAAGAGAGAAATTGGAATCACTTTTGAAAAATTGACCAAAAGATACACAATTGTCATCAAGCATAACCGATATTGCACAGCAGCTGCAAGTGACAGTACCAAAAATTTGCGAATTTTTTTTGGTCGTTCTCAAATTCCTCCCAAATTAAATTTTGTTAAAAAATTTTGTAACGCTTCATTAAATTTTGGAATAAAAAATCTACCGACATTTGTTGAAAGAAAAACAGCTTTCCGTTGACTGTGAACACTCCTCGAGACTTCAACTCTCTCTTGATTTCTATCATTGTCTGAGCTCTGCAATAAGTCCTGTTGAAATATTTTTAATTCATAACATCAGGAAACTAAAAAAAGCTGAGGGGCACGTATTTATGTTCATTTAAAGGCTGACAATTAACTGAAAAAAAGTTTTATGGGTGTTGTAGTGTCGCTTAATTAAAATAAAAAATTATGATTTTCTCGATTGGTCCTATATAAGAAGAATCGAAAATTAAAAGAAAAAAATCAGCGCGCCTAATTTTTTTTTCGCTTTAAAATCTCCCTACTCGATCGCCTGCACAGCTTTTCTCTCAGAAAACTCAATTAAATCAACTTGAAATGAAGAAAATTAGTGTTATGTTCTTATTGTTACTGTAAGCCCACGCTTGCCGGAATTTAATCTAAATGTCTAGAAATTGTTTTAATTGAAGACTACAACGTAAAAAAGAACCCAGACATGACAACTAAGTAAGTAAGACGATTTAAGACTCGGAGCTCTATCTTAATCGAAAATAACCCCCAAAAAAATCAAGTATGTGTATGTAGTGCTGAAGTCACCATTTTGACATCTTCACTGCAAAGGAGAACTTGATCATGGAAACTTGTTAGGGAAAAATTGATGGTTTAAGAAAAGGATTTAGAGGATAGCAAACATAATACCAAAAGGGATAAAAACCTCATATTTTCAAAAGTTCTTCCTAACTGTTAGTACACGATAATCGATCGAAAATAGAGACATGCTTGGTCATCATCGGCCCTTATTCTGGTTTGATAGACCTCATTAATCGTCATGACTGTATACTAAATAAAATACAAACTAATCACTGCTCTCAACCCGCCTTCTTTGCAGCCGTCGTTTGCGGAGCTCGACACTCCTTCCCCTCCCACCTATCTACACGTCTCACGTGTGAAACATCTGTAGACGCGTAAAGGAGGAAGGAAACGCTAAAATATAAGAAATTCCTCTCATTTTTTACTTCTCAAAGTTCCTAGTGCCTCGCACTCCTCTCTCAGAGCGGACGCCTGAGCTGAAATGCTGCCTTCCCAGTAACTACAGCATAAACACAACCCTTTGGTTAAATATGTTTTTTTGTTTATTTGTTTTTTGTTTTTTGTTTTTTGTTTTTTTTTTTGGGGGGGGGGGGGGGGTAATTGGGTCAATTTTTGCGGGGTATTTGCCGCTGGCCTCTCAAAACCCCAACCACATTAAAGTCTATTTTGTGGCCAATTATGGACCCCATCTTGCTCAATTTTTGGCCAATTTAACTATTTTTAACCGCGAATCTTCCCATTTTTAAATCCTTTCTTACCAGAATTTTCTTACCCTCCAAATCCCAAAAAAAATGCGAGCCAATTCCTGTATTTCTACTCAAAATACAACCGGCATTAGAGTCAATCCAGTTGTGACATAGCGACCCCATTCAGTGGCACATTCCCATGAGTCTTTTCTGGGAAGTACCCCCGAAGATGAGGCCCGTCGATTTTTCTGAGAAGCCTTCGTGGAACATTTCCTGAACAGCTGCTGATTGGTTGTCAAGTCCAACAAGACTAGATCTTCCTGTTTTTCGTGAAGACTAGACCCTCTGGGTCTCCATAATATTCCATAGACGTAAAATGATGACATAATTGTAGGACAAAGTGAAAGAAAAGACGGAAGGATTTTCGACGCACAATTTCAAGAAAAAGACTGATATACAATTAATTCATGCCTTCCGCGACCCCCGCGATGTTATAGAATCACTTTAACAACTGACCCACGAAAGAATGTAGTATATATGGGACATAATTCAGACATTTTCTCTGCGTTTTTTAGACTTCTATTGTCAGAATTCTTCTGTTTTTGTGTGGGCAAGCTTAAGTCGAACGAACAGCTGAGAGAATGAATGTAACAGCTGAATCTCAACTCTTCCGGTTGAATATCGAGCCTCGAATTGATAGACGCTCAAAAAGTATTTTAATTTAAACGAATCATTTCACAGAATATCTAACCACGATTCCCATTAATTTGTAAAATATGAAGTTGAAAACAGATCGGGAAAAAAAAATACGGTCATATTAATGTGAACTAACGTTCATATCTTGATGAAGGAGAGAACGAAAATTTGGCGTTGTCATAACAACAGCAACACCAAGCTAAATTACCCATAATGCTTCCAGTAGAGAGTATAGTTCGAGACGAGGCCAAAAATCCACATCTTTAAGTCGCTAGACACCATTGCCCAATTCCTCACAAGTTATCAATAACACCTCTTTTCAAAAAACTAACAAAAAGAGTTTTGCAAAGGAAACGACTCCATTTTGGATTTACATTCGTGAGCCGTCATTTCGTGCAGCGAGTAGAGGGTGTGCACGCGCTTGATCCAGGGATTGTCTCGTTCGACTGCGATGTCTTGTTAACGGAAATAAATTTACTTTCATCTGCCGAGATCTTGAAGGATATCGGTTTTAACAGGAGAAAGAGCTAATCTGTGTCTATCGTTGGATTCACGTTTGGGTAACTTTGGACTTGTTTAGAGATCGCCTAGTCGGCCATTATGCGCGAGGAAGACGTAGAAGTTGCGATCAAAGTCGTGGTTGTAGGAAATGGAGCCGTTGGTAAAAGTAGTATGATTCAGAGATACTGCAAAGGTATTTTCACCAGAGACTACAAAAAGACGATAGGAGTGGACTTTTTAGAGAGGCAAATCAGGTGAGGAAGAGCAACGCTAACGGGTGTGTGATCAACTGTCGGGCGAGCCTTCAGGAGTATTGATGCACTTTACGAGAAGACCGCTCAGTGATTTTGTAATAAATGTTTTGTGATTTTTCAATATTCTTTGCATATTTCAGCAGTGTATATAACTGAGAGTAATCACCGGTTTTCATGGGCGAAAATGTTGGTCTAAGAGTTCTCTCTAAACGATCTTTAATTTGTGTCATTGCAGTGTTAGGGGCGAAGACGTTCGGTTAATGTTGTGGGACACAGCCGGACAAGAGGAATTTGACGCCATAACTAAGGCTTACTACCGAGGTAGGTAGCGATGTGTGTTTGTAATTGATTGCAGGTATGAGTGGTAGTTGTACATAGGCATTTCAGTCTCCAGGTTTTCGAAACCTTACTTTGAAGTACACGGGTAAAAGAATTTGTTTATTTCGTCGATCGCAATCGATCTCAAGGAACGCTGCATATTGGAATATTTTTCAGTGGAATTGTCGTTTGCTGCGGTACATTTTCCAAAGTTTGCGTCGTTTTCTTAATCACAGTTAATACCCTTTTCAGCAACGAATCCCTTCAGCAAACCTTTCGTTAAATTGCAGTTTCTAGAGTATTAAAAATGATTGGCAATTGTGTTTACCCACTTGTTTTATATCGTTGCGGAAATTTTCGACTTTCCATCGTTTCGAAATTATAAGTTAAAATCCTAGTTCGGGTGGTCATGTTTTTATTTCCTTGAGAGAGAGAAATAATTCTAAAAGTAAATGAGC